ATTATATCCTAATGCAACGAAAAGGTATATATATATATATATATATATATATATATATATATATAAGCTTAATTAGTCAACTTTTAGAATTCATTCAAGTTTTAAATTTCATATTTGAGCTTTTTTTTTGAAAATTGTCGGAACATTTTATGTTTTAAATATTCTTTACTTCAAAAATGATCTCGATTAGTCAGTAATACAGCCTTCTTACTGACGAAGTTCAGTTGTGGTGTTGAATGGGAATGTATGTAATCAGAAAAAGCAAAAAATGGGATGCCTATAATTATAAAGTTTAGGGGCGTAGAATTTCAGTGGTGTTGAGTGTTTGTAGGAACTCATTGTATTGGACCGACACATTTCTTACTCGTTACAAGTATTTCCTTAGACTTTTTTCCTATCTTACTACCCTTTTCCTCTTTGTTTTCTTGATATTTTCTCTTCAACCTTTAATCGAATTTCCACTTTTAAAAACTACTGGTAGAATGCTTGTGACCATAACACAATTGTAACTAACGTTTCTTTGGTGTAGAAAATCTAGAATTCGCCTAAAGTCTGCTAGTGAGGATAACCTCTCCCCCGGTACTGGCATATACCAGGGAGTCAAAATCATCATCAGCTTGCTTCTAAGCAATTTTCGGAGGAGGCGCACTTGTCCCAACATGTATTTGCTACTAGCTCATTCCCCCAATTCAGGTTAATTTCGAGTCCCTCAGCCTGTCAAAAGAAATGAATGCGGAAGTGATTTTACGGGGTAATAGATTATGATCTGTAATTGAATCAGCTAACAGTTAAGACGAGATTTTTTGTTGTTGTGACCAGATTTTTTAATTTTATCAGATATTTCAGAATTAAGCTATTCAATGATACGGTAATGGAGGATATTGAAGACGTTGTCCAGACACTTCCAATTACTCGGTCTTCAAATCATGTACACATAAAAGTTAGAAAACGCCTGAAAAATAGTGATGAAGTTTTCAGCGGCGACAGTTTTATACCAGGTATGCATTCCCCCCAAAAAAAATTCTGAAGTTTCAGAACTTTAAGTGTCAAGAAATGCATTTTTCTTTGTGGCTGTGTCAGGAGAAAATCTACGATTTTGTCTGTCGTTATTTTTATTGATACATTGGCTTTCTTGCTGTATTTTAAACTATTTATTCCATAAATTTGCCAGAATATGATTATGTTTTTTGAGGTATTTTTCAGGGAAACATAAAATCTACATCAAGACATGGGGTTGCACACATAACACTAGCGATTCGGAACAAATGGCTGGCCTACTGGATGCTGCTGGCCATCAGCTAACTAACGAGAAGGTCGGAGTTTTTTTTATTTATATAGTCTGAGCAAAAACTTCACTTAAAAATCAACCTCGATCGAAGTCTTTATCACAATACTTGGCCAATCTGTCACAGAAAAGTCAGTGTGGAATTGTTTTTCAAATTCGCAAAGTATATCATTTGGTTATTTTTTCCCGTTTTTCAGGAAGAGGCCGATTTATGGATTTTGAACAGCTGTACAGTAAAGACACCATCTGAA